GAAGGGATTGCGGCATGACCATCCCCCGGGGGGGGTGATTTCTCACTTTCTGTCTCTATGTCTCTCTCTGTCTGTCTGGCGAGCACACGCGCCCTATAGCGAAAACCTCTCAAAAAAAAAAAAAAAATTCTGGCTTAGAATAAGGTGACTGTGATGAGAATGATCGATTTATTCGACTTTAACCCAAGAAGTTGTTTTTAAGGTTTGAGTGGCTGCACTATACTGCTGGAATACACCATGCTTGATTTATCTGGAACCTTAGAATGCTTCTTACTTCTCTTTGTTATAGCTATAAACAATGCTAGCCCAAAGATATTTGCACCTAATTATTGGGTCATCAGAAGTCATGACGTATTTTTCTATGCAAAAATGAGTCATGACTTTTCCTGACTCGATATGTGATTCTTGTACAATAATCTCTAGCTACACTATTCACTTGGAGCTTGAAAGAAAACAACTGAACTACCCTATTTTGTCATCATTCTTTTTACTTTTTAGTTCAAATACTTCTTCATTTCCTTAAGTTTCTTCTTTCCCTGAGAGGGTTTTAGAAAGTTAAAATGGAAAAGATCTGTAGAGGTTCTCTCTTTCTTTTCTTTTTGGAGAAGTTTTTGCCATAGGGCACATGCGCTCACCAGAAAGACAGAGACACAGAGACAGAAAGCAAGAAATCACGTTCTGGGGGAATGGCCATGCCATGATCCCTTCTCTTCTATTCTCCTCTTGGGATCTTGGGCACACATGTACATGTGCCTGGCATGAGTTTAAGCCACCGGGTCCAGGACTTGAACCATAGTCAACTCCATGGGAATCTAGCGACGTAGCCATTATGCCAGCCGCTGGCCCCAAGATCTGAAGAGGTTCTCTAGTTCAGTAGTTCTCAATGAGAGGACACTATGCTAAGGTAATCAGAATCTCTAGGGGAACCTTATTTTTTTTTAATACTTTATTACTTTTAAAAAATAATTATTTATTCATTCATTCATTTTAATTTGACCAAAAAAAAGGCAGAGAGAGCGAGAGGTAAAATGAGAAGGCAAACCATCAGGTCTGGGACTTGAACCATGATCAGCCATGTGGGAGTGTCCAGCATCTGAATCACCATACCATCTGCTGGCCCCAGGGGAACCTTCTTGAACAACAGGCCTTCTCTCTGACAGACTCTAGGAAAGGGGGGAGTGCTGCTACGAACTGTCCACTCGGACACTGATTCAACCACCCTATATGGCTCATTCAGTCTAATTCCTTAGTTAGTTTCCCACATGAGGAAACTGAAACACATATTACATAGTGACAAAACAAGAACTAGAGCCCTAATCGATTTTTCAATGCCACTAGTACAATGTCTGAGCATATCAATTTTTTCCAACCCTTGGCAACATAAAGTATGACCAACACATTTTTTACTTCTGCTAATCTATTAGACAAAAAAAAAAAAGTATCTCACCATCGTTTACAGCATGATTTATTACAGAGATTCATCTGAGTTATCTTATAAGACAGCTAGGATTTCTGCAAAGTCATATGTCAGAAGGAAAAAATCAAGTACTTGAAAATGCAAGGTGGTTTAATAACAATAAGCTTTCTGGCTAACTTTATTCAACCATAATCTTCCTTTACTTTACTTACTCTCAATTCTAAAGAAGACACTATTAACAGAACAGGGCTTTCCTCACTACTTTTGCGTATACCATAATCTATAGACCAAGAAGGTTTTAAAGAAAAAAACCTTGGGACAGTTGGTGGCATGGTAGTTAAGGAGGCTGGATCCCACATGGCTGACTGTATGGTTCAAGTCCTGGACCTGACAGCTTCAAAAACATGCCTGGCGCATGGCCAAAATCCTGAAAGGAGAAAAAGAGAAGGGATCGCAGTGTGGCCATCTCCCATGGAGGTGGGGGTACTTTCTTACTTCTTCTTTCTCTCTCTCTCTTCAGAAATCATGCTTACTGACAATTTTTTTTTTTTAAAGGAAACCCTGGGGCCAGTAGGTGGCGTGGTGTTTAAGATGGACTTCCACATGGCTGACGCAGTTCAAGTCCTGGACCTGGTGACCTGCTTTCTCACTTCCCTCTTTCTCTGATTAAATTAATAATAATAAAATTGAATAAAATAATTCTTTATTAAAAAATAAAAAAACCTCTAATGATTTTAGCTTTCCTTTCTCCTTCTGATTTTAAGAAAATCTTCTATTTCCTCAGCATGGCAGATTCTGAAAACTTGACTATTAAGGTCTCTTGAACCAAATAGGACATATATTCATATATTAATATTTGGCAAAATGTAACAGACACTTGATCAAAGAATTTCTCACATATTATCTTGTTTAATATTCACATTATTCAATATGGAAAGGACAGTTATGAGGCAGAGAACAGTTAAGAAAATTGGGCTAGACCACAGTGCAGAGGTTAAGCACTGCATGTAGAGCCAGATCCCCACATGGCCAATTGTAGTTCAAATCTCATCCTTGCAGGCTTGAAAAACATGTCACGTGGTATGTTCAAGATTGAAGTTATGGAAGAAAAAGGACTGTGCTGTGCCAGGACCTATTATGGGGTGCTTCCTCTCTTACTCTCTCTCTGGTGTGTACATGCACCATGCTATATAAAAAAGGAAAAAAAAAAGGTCAGAAACGTGCTCAAGTTTACATAGCCAGTAAGTGGCAGAGCTGGGATTTGAACACATGCAATCTGGCTCTAGAACTGGTGCTCTACATTTGAAAACAGGAATTGTTTCTTCCTTTCTTTCTTTTTCTTTGGAGAGGTTTTTGCTATAGGGTGCATGTGCTTGCCAGAAAGACAAAGAGATAGTGAGAAATCCCCCCCCGGGAGGATGGCCACGCTGCAATCCCTTCCCTCCATTCTCCTCTCAGGATCTTGGGCACACATGCACATGCGCCCAGTGTGAGTTTAAGCCACTGGGTCCGGGACTCGAACTGCGGTCAACTACGTGGGAGTCCAGAGACATAGCCATTATGCTAACTGCTAGTCCCAATCTTTAATAACTTCTAATAACCAGTCCATATTCTCCAAATGTCTTTTTTTTGATCTGTTTAATCCAGACAAGATACATATATTACATTTGATAGACATTTTTGTTCTTTTTTTTTTGGTCATAGGGCATACATGTACACTCACTAGAAACAGAGGCAGCGAGAAGGAAAGTGAGAAATCACCACTAGAGGGGCTGGCCATGCCACAGTTGCTTCTCCTTTTGGGACTTTGGGCACCATGCACATGGACCTGGCATGATTTTCAAGCTACCTGGTTGGGGACTTAAACTGTGGTTGGCTGTGTGTTACTCTAGCACCTTAACCATCATGCCACCTGCTGGCCTTCAGTTGACATTTTCTTTATTTTTTAATAGGTTTTTTTTTTTTTTTTTTACTATAGGGTGTGTGCACTTACCAGAAAGACAGTGACAGAGGGACAGAAAGTGAGAAATTACCTCCTAGGGGGGATGGCCACGCCACAATCCCTTCTCCTCCATTCTCCTCTCCGGACCTCGGGCATGCATGTACATGCACCCTATGTGAGTTTAAGCCACTGGGTCCGGTACTCAAACCACGGTCGACTACATGGAAGTTCAGTGACATAGCCATTACGCTAACTGCTAGTTCCAGGAACTGTTTCTTATTGGCCTTCAAATCTCTAACACTCAAGCACAGTGCCTGGCAACAACAGAAACTATAGATATCTGCTGAATAAACGTATGAATGTGCATATCCCGTGAGTCCATCTCATAGAACTTACTCTTTTTTGATTTAAGAATTATTTATTTACCTATTTTAAATTGATCAGAGAGAGACAGAGCAAGAAAGAGACAGGGAAAGTGAGAGAGTAAGCTGCCAGGTCCAGGACTCGAACCACAGTTGGCCAGGTGGGACTCCAGTGACCTGCCAGCCCGAACTTATACTTTTTAAAATATTATATCTTGCTTAGGCTGCTCTTTCTACCCAGAAAAGCCTTCTTTTCTAACTGGTAAATCTCTAATAATTTCTGGGGCCAGTAGGTATTCTAGTGGTTAAGGTACTAGAGTCTCACATGACTGAGTCCCGGCTTGAAAATTATAGCAGGTGCATGTGGGTGCATGCCCAAAAAATCCCTAATGGAGGAGATGGGATTATAGCATTGCCATTTCCCTGGGGGGTGATTTCTCATCTCCCCCACTAGCAAGCGCAAGCAAAAACCTATAAACAAAAACAAAACCCTCTAATGAATTTGAAGATCAGTTCAAATGGACAAGAGAAGAGTATAATAGATCCAATTTTTAAAAAATCATTTTTTTCTTTTTTGACACCTCTACCCCTATCTGGAAGAATTATTTCCTCCTTCTGCTCTCAGTGTTTTTCTAAGCTCTATCATAACACTTCCTGAGTTGTATTATAATTATCCCTATAGATATTGAGTTTCTGCCAGACTATGCATCTTGCGCGCAGGAGGGGAGTGTCTAACTTATCTTTGTGTCTTCAATGCCTGGCACCAAGCTTGACACACAAATGGTCCTCAGTAAATATTTACGGAATGAATGAATGAACTTTGAAACATGAAGGTACGAATATCAGTTCTACTCATGAGGAACAACTGACCTACTACAAAGCAGCTAGTAGCACTGAGTCCAACAAGGAGGGCAGGTGTAAAGAGCTTTTAAAGTTGGGTTTCTCTGATACCACAAGTCTTCAAAGGAACTCATTTTAAGTAGGAAAAAAGGACTAAAGCTGAAAGAAAATGGATCATTCGATGATTAATGAGGATGAACTCAATATCTAAGCTATGATAAGCAAATCTTTAAAATGAATCTCAATTTAATATAACTGTCAAAATATCTGTCCAAATGTTCCTGGAGAAAGAACGCAATTGTGCTATATTTGTTTGGAAAGGGGTGGAAAAACCCAAGCCAGTCACTTTTACTGCACTGTTACGAATAGCTCCTTTAGAAATCTGTGATGATCGGAGTTGAACAGCAATACTTGATTCTTATTTACTGATATGACTTACCTCAGGAATTCTTTGCTCTGTTCCCACAGATCCTGGGTCTCTTCTTTAGTCATATGTTTGTCCAGGTTACACACATTAGGTTTCTGGGAATATAACTTAAGGCACTGCTTCACCCAGTGCCACTGATAACCTGGGAGGAAGGGATTCGGGATGAAAATAAATCCTGCACAAAAATGGGTGGGAAAAAAAGAAGAGGGGAAAATTTGCTATCAGTTATTTAGATAATTTCGTTTTGTTGGCATCCTTTTATACCAAGTAATCATTTATTTACTCCCCATATCCTTTTGGGCATGTTGCAAATTAATGGAAAGTATGTTTCTGATGAATATTAAATACCTACCACTGCCCACCTCTCTGGCTCTTTAGGTTATTCTCAGGAGAAATAAATATATGTCACAAGGTTAATTGTCGGTTGTGTTACTGCTATGGTTTCAATGTGATTCTCAAAGTTTATATGTTGGAAACTTAACACCCAAAGCAAAAGTGGTGAAAGATGAGACTTTTAAGGTGATTAGGTCACCTAGTTCTTTCCTCATGAATGGAATAATGTCTCTAATGTCTCATCATGAGAGTAGGTTTGTTATAAAAGTAAGCTCACCCTTCCCCTGTTGTCTCCCTTCCCCTTTCTCTCTCTCGCCCTTGTGCTTTGTAACATAGGTCTACCATAGGAAAACGCAGCAAGAAGGCCCTCACCAAATACTGGCCCCTTGATCCCAGACTCCAGAAGTATAAGAAATAATTCTCTGTTCTTTATAAAATACCCAACCTCAGGTAATCTGTTATATCAGCCACAAACAGCCCAGTCACTAATTACGGTAGGTAGTAAAATAACCAAATGCCTGCCAAGTGCTAGCCACAGCGCTAACAACCTTACACTACCTCACTAATCCTCAGTAACTCCACGAGGAGGTTATTAATCCAAGTGCGCCGATGAGAGGACAGAGGTTCAGAAAGGTAACATGATTTCCTTGATCCATTCCTCTCTCCTGGCCTTTCTATGGCCAATAGCACACATTTGGGAGATAGTAACAAAGTTGAGTTGTGGCCACAGGGGAAACAAAACCAGTAAGCTCTCATGGGAAACAAATCTCTAAGATCTTTACATTATGAATATTAAGCTCTAACCAAATGAGTCTCTAAACAATATCATCAATGGTCTACTATTCACATTTCAAAGAGCTTTTAAACTACCTGTGCCTCAGCAGAAAAGAGTTCATGGTAACACATAAGAAAGGAGAAGGCCTCTATTATACTAAAGCTTTTTCTTTTCTTCTTCTTCTTCTTCTTTTTTTTTTTAGGAATTATTTATTGGGACCAGCAGTTGGCATAATGGCTATGTTGCTGAACTCCCATGTAGTCGACTGTGGTTTGAATCTGGGCCCGGTGGCTTAAACTCACGCCGGGCGCATGTGCGTGAGTGCCCAAGATCCTGAGAGGAGAATGGAGGAGAACGGACTGTGGTGTGGCCATCCTATCTGGGGTGTGATTTCTCGCTTTCTGTCTCTCTCTGTCTCTCTGGCGAGCGCACATTCCCTATAGCAAAAACCTCTTTAAAAAAAAAAAAAAAGAATTATTTATTTATTGTTATTCTTCAGTTTGGCCAGAGAGAGAGACAGAGAGACAGAGAGAGAAAGGGAGAATGAGAAATCAAGCTGCCAGGTCTAAGCCACGGTTGGCCATGAGGAGGCCAGCACCCCAACCACCATGTCACCTGCCGGCCCCTGTATTAAATCTTATATTTAAATAAATATAATTTAAATATTTAAAATTCTATGTCTAGATTCCTACAGATATGGGAAGAATGTGAGTGGCTTAGAGATATTCAAAGAAGACAGATGTCTCAGTTGATTAATCCTATTTTACAATTTAATATTATCAACAGTATCTACTCCAAACTAAGCCCACTGGCCAGTTTGTTACCTGTTGGCACCAGGAAATCTCATGTACCCAAAGATTTTTTACCCACTAAGAAAAAATTGAAAGCTATTGGTGGATTTCATTATCTAGGCAGACTATAAAGTAATTCAGAAAGAAAAGAAAGAAAATCAATTGAAAAGGCTGATCAATAAAGATCCTTAAAGGATCAAATATTGAAATTCATATTTTTTTTTTAAGAGAGAGATTTGTGGTATAGGGTGTGTGTGCTCGTCATAGAGACAGAGACACAGAAAGCAAGAAATCCAGGGGGTACAGCCACACCACAATGCCTTCTCCTCCATTCTCCTTTTGGGATTTTGGGTATGCATGCACACGCACCCAGTGTAAGTTCTAAGCTGCTAGGTCTGGGACTCAAACCACGGTCAACTACATGAGAATCCAGCAACGCAACCATTACACCATCAGCTGGTCCCAAAATTCATCTTAATAGTTATCTAGTTTAACAAACTAGCTTGATTCTTTTATGTCCTCTAAAGTCTCTCCAAAAAAAAAAAAAAAACCAAAAAACAAAACAAAAAAACCCTCACATTTTGTCTATCATAAAATTCTGCAAATAATGGGACCAGCAGTTAGTTCAATGGCTACGTTGCTGAACTCCCATGTAGCAGACCGCAATTTGAGTCCCGGACCCGGTGGCTTAAACTCACACCAGGCGCGCGCACGCGTGTGTGTGCTCAAGATCCTGAGAGGAGAAGGGAGGAGAAGGGATTGCGGTGTGGCCATCCCTCCTGGGGGATGATTTCTCGCTTTCTATCTCTCTGTCTCTCTCTGTCTTTCTGGAGATCGCACACGCCCTATAGCAAAATAACCTCTCCAAAAAAAATTTCTCCAAATAATTTGGGAGAGTGACAGACTTACGAATATTTTTGGGAAAAAGGATATGAAAAACTCTACAACTTACTATCTGCTATGACCATTATTTCACAAAATGAAGATTATTATAATACTCATAAAAATATCAGATTAAAGGAAGAATACTTTTGATTTACTCTGGGCTTGAAAAATGATGTGAAATTTATTCTCTCTCTCTCTTTTTTTTAGTTGCTACAGAGAATGTATGTTTCCCAGGAAGATGAGAGAGGAGACAGAAAGAGAAGATGAAAGCATCTTACAATGGGGTATGGTCATGCTACAATCCCTTCTGCTCCATTTCTCCATCTTGTCAGGATTCTGGGCACATGTACACACAGGCCTGGCATATCTTTCAAGCCCAGAGGGCTGGGATTCAAACTAACATTGGGCATGTGGAATTTGGCTCCCTTAGCCACTAGGATACATGGCTGGTGGAGGAAATTTAATACTTCTTGGTAGCCCATTTCAAAAAAACTGTTAAGTTGCTTTTCTTTTATTGCATTAAAAACTGCCTCCCTTTAATTTTCATGCATTGGTAGAGGTTTTGATACCTAGAGCAAACCCAAATCAGTTTTTAATATTTCTGACAAATACCTGTAGCTTTATAGTTAACATTTATTGAGAATTTACTATGTGCCAGACACTACCTAATCACTTTACAAGTATATGCATGCTTAATTCTCATAATGTTATAGTGGACACTATTTTTTAAAAAATTGTTTTAATTTTATTTATTACTACTATTTTTTAATTTGACCAGAGAGAGAAAGAGAGAGAGAGAGAAAGAGAAAGAGAGAGAGAGAGAGAGGGGAAAAGTGAGAAAACAGGCCACTAGGTTCAGTACTCAGAGAGTCCACTTTAACTACCATGCCGCCTGCTGGTCTCAAGTGGACACTATATTTATACTCATTTACACACAAAGAAACTGAAGCCCAAAGAGACAAAGTCACTTGACCTGAGTCATACAGTTAACAGATAGCAGAGCCAGGATATGATCCTGGCAGCCAGAGAGCAGAACCTTTCCATTAACCACCAATCTGCACTGCTTCTCATTCTTCTGTGTGTATGACAACTTTTGAAATGTATGATGCTGTCATGTCCTTCCATTAAGTCTTCTCTGTCCTAGACTAAGTTTCTGGTTTCCAGACCCATTATTCTCCTGTTCACTCTTGCAAGGTCAAGCAGTAGTAGACTCAAGTTTATTTCAGAATAAGTGGGATCCAGAAGTGAATGCAATCCTTCTGATCATTTCAGAGTTAAAAAGGGACTGTTTTCTCCCATGTTTTATATATGCTTTTTTTTTTTTTTTTTTTTTTTTTTTTAAGTTTGCTATAGGGGGTGTTTATTTGCAGGGGGGAGAGAGAGAGAAAGCAAGAAATCGCCCCCAGGGGGATGACCATGTCACAATCCCTTCTCCATACTCCTCTCAAGATTTTGGGTGCACACGTGCCTGGTAATGAGTTTCAACCTGAACCAGGTTGGCCATGTGGGAGTTCAGTGATGTAACCACTACGCCATCTGCTGGTCCCTAGACATGCTTTTATTAAATGTAGCTTACAATGGGAGGATTGGAAGAAATTTTCTAAGGACATAACCAGGCACCAACCAAATGATAAGGCTTATGCAGGAAATTCTAGAAAAACCTCAAAAAGCAAGCAAGACAGTCAGGGTTATAACTATAATTTGAACAATCTGCTAAGAGAGGAAAGTTTGGTCAGCAGGTAGCTTATTGATTAAGGTGCTGGACATAGTCTACTGCGGTTCGAACCCCAGACCTGGTGGCTTGCTTTCTCTCTCTGGTCTAATTGAAAAATGATAATGATGTATAAAATTAAATAATTCTTTAAAAAATAAAAAAGAGAAGGCAGCTTTTAGCACAAAAGAGAATTAAGGTCTTAAAAACAGATGCTAGAGGGACCAGCAGTTGGCATAATGGCTATGTCGCTGGACTCCCATGTAGTTGACTGCAGTTTGAGATCCAGACCTGGTGGCTTAAACTCATGCCGGGCACGTGTGTGTGTGCGTGCCCAAGAACTCAAGAGGAGAATGGAGAAGGGACTGCAGTGTGGCCATTCCCCCTGGGAGGTGATTTCTTGCTTTCTGTCTCTCTGTCTTTCTGGAGAGCGCATGCACCCTATAGCAAAAACCTCTCTCTCTCTCTCAAAAAAAAAAAAGGGTATTAAAGCTAAAAGTTAAAAAGTAGCCTCCAAGAACAAGTGCATAAAAGACTGCTGGTAGCACATGCTCGACATTTACACAAACTCATGGAGAGTGATGCTTTCATATTTAAAAGCCATTATTCAACTGTTTCCTTTGTGACTTCATACACAACTGAAGTGCATGAGGCCTTTTATAGGCAGTATCATACATTAT